ACATTGCCCTCCTTTTCGTTTTTTGTTTTTTTTTTTAAAGAAAGAAATTAAAGTGGAAATTCCATTAAGAAAGAAAATCAGCTATGTCTCTTTATTTATTCTGCCCCTAAGCTGCCATGGATAGTTTTCAAAGGGACTATTTCATAGTTTCCTAGAAACTATTTCACAAAGGTATAATTATTACTTCAACTACAGAAATAGTAACAGGAGCCACCTTCCACCACATGTTTACTAAAGTCAGGTACTACACAAAACACTTAGCACGCACTATCTCATTTAACTCCATCAATGAACGTGGAAACAACTATCATCATCACCTTTTTGCATAGGAAGCAGCTAACACTAGGGATATTAAAAGACTTGTCCAAGATTTCGCAGCCATGAAGTGGCAAAGCCAAGTTATGAGCCCAGGCTTGTCTGACGCCAAAGCTCAAACCCTCTCAGCTGTGCTTGCTATATGGGCTCTGAGTTCAGTGAAATCAAGGGCCTAGTTTTTCCTCATTTGGAAGCCTTCCGGAACTAAAACAGTGCCTACTCCATAGGGGGCTCAAGAACTGTTGCTTATTTATCAGGAGTCATTTGAAAGCATGAATGAAAACACGGTAGAGGGAAACCTACAGTTGCCGCATAGCTCAGAATTCAAATATAGTTCCATAGGCAGGTCACTTATTAGGTTTGGGACCCTCTAAAATCATAATAAATAGGTCGTTTGTCAAAGAGTTGATGGAAACAGATCAGAAGAATTCTATCTGCCAAAGAAACTAAAAGACAGGTAGCTACAATGTGTCAAGCACCAAAAGAACCACTAGTTTGGATATAGTTTTGAAAACTTAAAACGATGGTTACAATCCTAGCTATAGCCATAGGAGAGTTGGTTCACCTCTCTAAATGTCCCTTTCATCCATATAAAATGAGAAAGAAAAATATACATATATGTAGACATATATCCCAGTTACATGATGTGTTCAATGGAAGCCAGCATGTTTATTATTACTCTTATTATCAATGCATCAATTAAATATATGCAATGTAATCATATGCTTGTTTAAACTGTACTTGCAAACTTCAGCAAATGAATGCTTTACTGCTACTATGGTACAAAGAAAAAGTCACACAAGAAACAGATGTATATCATTCACATTTTGGCTTTTTAAAACATCCTTAACATGGGTTAAAAGAAAAAGATTCCCAAGGTTACCTAATCTGCTATGATTTAACAGCATTTTGATGTTTTTCTAAGAAATGATAGCAAAGTGCTGTATCTCTTCAAACTTGGAATTTACTGCCTGTCTCAGTCTCTGCTTATGCCAAATTAAATATACAGTATAAGGTCCCTACCAGAAATAACATAGCACAGTTTCCTGCTCTATTCCTTGGTTGAATGAGCCCAAACTGAAGAAAGGGAGACATGGTTTTATTTAATCATCTGAATAATTGTTTTCTTCACTCTCTTGAATTGGAAGCTCTTGGTGGGGGAGGGGAAAGTTTGAAAGAAATCACCATGTGAATTATCAGGCCATTTAAAGGAACAATTCTCTTTGAAGGCCCTACATTTGAAAGGCTCAAGAAAAAGCTTAAGAAGAGTATTCTTATTAATGAACTGACCAGAAAGTCAGCGTCCCCTGCTAGTTCCC